TTTTTTTTTTTTTTTTTTTTGTTATCAACTGAATTTGTAATCAGAAAACCAGTAAAAACAGATTTATTTGTTGTTATCACTGACTAAATAATAATTATTCTTGTTTTTGTTTAATACTTATCTTAATACTTAGCTAAAACACCAGTCGCTTAAGACTGTACACAAATTTGGCTTATCTCTTTTGCATTGTTCAGCTGTACCATTTACTACAGATGTCGATAAACAAAAAAAAAAAAACAAATGTTAAAACTGTAATGGTTTTTAAGAGAAAAAAAATTTTTGCTTCTTGTAGTTTTCATTCTTTTATTTTCGGTTGATTAAAAACATATACCGTTTTTCCTTTCGTTTATTTTTGATGTTATATAGCAGTATCAAAATCTTTTTTTTTTTTTTTTTTAGCAATGAGTAAGGAACGAATTTGTGGATGCTGTACAGTAGGTCCAAAGCAAAAAAAATTGCTAAAAAAATTTGCTGAAACAACTTCAGCACATGGCTGTATGCTGATCAGTCATTCAAAGCACTCTGGTATCAGAATCGTCTGGATTATTATTGTTTTAGTACTTTGGTAGGTGTTATCATCAACTATATATCATCTATTTTGGCTTACTTCGGCAATACAGCTACAGTTATTTGATCTATAGACTGACAACAGTCAAAGATTATTTATTCTGATTACTGTAATTAAAATCAAAAAAAAAAAATTTTAATTACTTTAATATGAAGTAGTTGTCGAGGAATAAAATAGATCAATTCTGAAACTTTAATTGTCACTTGTAATCAGTAACATCTGAAACTAATAATCTTTAAATTTATACCAAAAAAAAAAAAGAAAAAGGGAGACATTTGTTTTTCTTTTTTTCTATTAAGGATAATTTGTGCAATTCAAACATCATTCACTATATTCAAATATTATCAATGGCCAACGGTAACATCAATTCGTATTCGTCATTTTACATCTGTTCAGTTTCCAGCAGTAACAATTTGTAATTTGAATCCAATACGAGCAGGTTGGATTCGTAAGCAATCTATTGGTACTGATGAAATTACAAAAGCCTTAGCTGTATGTTTACAGTATTGCAACAAATTATTTACCGTTCCTTTCTACTCCTTTTTTTTCTTTTTTCTTATGAAAAAAATAACTATAAAAGAAAGAGAGAAGATTAATTTATTACCAGTCAAGCAATTTTTTAGCTACTTAAACAAAAACAGAATATGACAAGAGAGCAGTGGAAACAGACGTTAGATGAGGCTAAATCAGCGTCACATATTACGATAAAAGATGAAAGTCTTTATCGTTCAATTAGAACTATATTTAACAACAAAGTAAAACAGTCTTTTTTTTGTTTCATTTTTTTTTACTATTTATTACTGTTTATAAAAATATACAAAAAAAAAAGACTTTTTGTAAATTTCTTTTGTTAATTAATTACGGCAAGTCAAAAATTGATTGACGTTAGCAGCAATTGTAACAGAATTAAGTTGTTGTATAGAAATTGCTATAAACCCTATAGATTTTAATTAATCTAAAAAACACAGATATCTTATAAAAACAAAAAATAATTTTGAAGATAAATTTGACTGAAGCAGGCCACGATATTAAAGAAATGCTTCTGGAGTGCAACTTTCAGTCAACCAGATGTACTGCAGAAAATTTTACAAGGTAACTATGTTTCTTCCTTCATTGTTCTTCTGTTAAGCACTGATATTCTTAACTGTTGGTATACAGAATTGTTGAAGACTGCTGCCCAATTTACTGAAACACTACCAACAGCTGAAACTTTAATATTTGAGCCGAAATTACGTTGTTTATTAGTATAAAAATAACATCGAAATGTTAAGCATTTGCCGTTTTGCCACTTTTTCAATGAAAACAACAGTATTTAAAGCAAATAAAATTGCGAAAAAAAAATAAAGAAAAGGCACAATTTCATTTAAAAATCGCAATCAAAATTGACTGCTATAGAGCAGAAATCTGTTAGAAGACTAAAGTTCTTGTTTTATTTTTGACCTTCTGCAGAATAATTCTGCTGCTGAACGCTGTTCGACGGTTATCCTTAGCAACTAACTTTGATAAACCAAAAACTTCAACAATAAAAGTTATAAAAATGTAAAAGAAAAAAATTTGACTGTTTACAACATTGGTTTTAATATATAAAATTCTGTGATAAAAATTTATCAAGTCAAAATAGGTAAAAAAAAAAAAGATTGATAAGTAACTTTACTTTTACAAATCACTTTTAAAAAAGACTAAATTTTTCAGAAACAAAAAAAAAATAAGCTTCTTTTAATTTTATATAAAAAAA